GCATTATCAATCAGCATGATTTAAGTTAGATATTACCATTATTGAATTATTAATTTTTATTAGCATGTGCTTTCATGTTAAGCATGTATGATATTTTATTCTGTTGAATAACATCTACAAATTTTTTTACTGATTAATGATACAATGAAACCAATTCAGGATGTCAATATTATCTAAAATAGTACTCAGTTTGACCATTTTTGTTAAAATAAAAGTCAAATTTTTATGCCACAAGATTATTCTTGAAATTAATATGAAGATTATGTCATATTGTGTGTGTGAAGTATTGTATTACTAGTTCCAAAGCAATTTCTATATCTGTTATTAGTTTTCTATACTTGCTAGCACAAGGAGCAAGAAGAGTTACTTTAAAATACACATTTGCACACAATGTCAAATAGATAATAAAACTTCAAGTTTCTACTTCTACTTCAGTGATTTCTTTATTTCCCTAGTTTACAAAGTAATACATATTTTCTATATCTTTTCAATACATATATTTAGAAAACAATTATTTTGATATCCAGGTCACAATAAAAGTATAAAATTGATTTAAATGAATTCTATCAATCACTTTTTAATGGTCTAAATATTATCATCTGTGAGTCAAGAGTAATTAACATTTTGAATTGGGTTAACTGTATTTTAATTTACAGAAATCAGAATTAATAAATAAAAGATGTTGAAAGGAACCTTTTGAAGGTAATGAGTATGTTTACAACATAGATTGTGATGATAGTTTCTTGAGTGCATACTTATCCTCAGACTCATCAAGCTGTATACACTAAATATGCCCAGCTTTTTGTATCGCTGATCATACCTCAGTAAAGTATTTTTTAAAATAAAAGATAATGCATTTTATATTTTTAAAGAGACACTGTAGTCTGGAATTAAAACAATATGGGCTTTGGGATCAAACAGTAGTGGATTGGAGTTTCAACTCCCTGCTTATTACCTCTATTATTTGGTACAATTTACTCGATCACCAGAGGGTGCTTCTGTTTTCTCTTAAAAGAGTTAACTATACTAGGTACTGTAAATGTACCTGTATTATCAAAATCACAAGAGGCTTGTTTTACTTAGTTTCCTTCCCCTTTGTCCTTTCTTCCTTCACGCACAATTGCTTGCGTGTAACTATTTCGGTAGATGATAGTTATTAATAATTGGTTATCTTCATAGGTTAATGACCAGGGACTGCCTGCAAGATTAATGAACTTGTTTTTCTTTTAAAGAATGATGATCTTAGGTCATGCAGACTTCTATGATCCTTAGGTTATGCATACCTCCTCAATGGTATCCAGAAATTTGACCAGACAGGAGATGCAAGCAGATTTGATCACCAAGAATCTAACCTCTTGCATACCTACCTTACTCATAAAAGATCCAGCTATATCCAAAGGCAGGGCAGATTTGAGAGTTTGCCTTTTCTACTCTCATGGTTTTGCCAAATTAAATAAACCTTTTTCTGCTCCTAAGCACTGATGTTTTGATTTAGGCTGATTAAGGCTCTCTTGAACCTAACTTTTGGGGTCTACAACAGTACCTCATACAGTTGCTGTGAAGAAAGAATGAATGAAAGAAAAAAAAGCACCTAGCACCATGCTTGTTGTGTACTATGACTTAATAAGTATTAACTGGAGATTGAATATCTCCAGTTGTATTGTGGCTGATTTATATTTTTAAACAATTGTATCATTTTTAGTTTATTTATTATGTATCATATGAAGAGTTGATATTCTAAATATACACAGACCAGTACAGTATCCATAGTCATGTAACTAATCAAAATAGTCCATATGTCCTACTTACTGGTGCCACTTGTTAAGTATCAGTGGAGTATGAGATATGAAATTTTAAAATTAAGTACTGAGAGAAAACATCATGCATATATCATTTTTTAATTCTCATGTGTTTTGTATTTTGTCTCTTTATGAATTAAAATTATATGTGAAGAAACAATGTTCTTTTGATTTCCTGAGTAAATGAAATGCATAATAAAATTTTGAAGGAATCACCATATTAAATACAAGAGAAATAAAGCAATGCAGAAGAGATTAATTTGATAACATAGCTACTTAATGTTATTTTTATAATATAATAGTAAAAACTAGAAAATAGAATAAATTAACATAGCATTAAATACTTTAAGTACTTTAGTAGTAGTTCTTATGTTGAGATATGGAGCTGTGAAAACTACAATTTAAATTACTTAGTATAAGAAAAATTTAATAAAATGTTATATATGTAGGCATGCTCAGCAATGATCTTAAATAAAAGCTGCACACAGTTTACTATTTCAAATTGACTTATTAAAATATTATCATATAAAAATTTGTATATCTCATTTCTGAATTATGCTAAAGTTGTTCCATCAGTGCTACAATAAGATGAACGGATATAATTTACATGAGTATCATACTTTGTGATGTTCAAATATTTTTTGCAATTATTTCTCTGAGAAAAGATTGAATAAAAATAATCTTGTAACTTGGATTTTTTTCTTATAAAACTGTATACATTAGAATGTCATGTAAACACAATTTAATAAAACTGCATTTTGAATAGCTGAAGTAATCTCTCAACAGTTTCTTGTTTTATATAAATACACATTTTTTTGTTTTGTTTTGTTTTGTTTTCAGTGCCAATAAGTCTTTATTTATTTTTCCCAGGGAAATAAGAAGGGAAGAGAAAGAGTCAGCATGTGTGTTACAAAATGATTAGAAAATGGGAAATACCCAATACAGCAAATCAACCATCAAACACACCCCTGTGATGGGGTTGCAATAGCCCAGAGGGGCTCAGTCTCCTGCAGTTCAGGAATTAAGGGATCAGGAAAAGAACAGACAGGTACAGGCTTTCCTACCCTCCCTCCCTCCCCATAAATTCAAGATTTCACACAAAGCTTTAGTTTCTAGCAGTAAACATGGAGTTACATTCGTCCGTCTCCTATTAAACAATCTTGTGGCCACTTTGACATAAGTTTCTTTGCACCTGCATAAAAGTTCCTGAGTGACTTGGATATACATTCATATTCCCTTTCTTGGCCTCCTGACCCCACTTTCTATATAGAAGGGCCCCAGTTGTTTTTCTCTACTTTAGGCTTTTAGATTAAGCAGGCTTGATCCAACCAAAATACAGCAGTGCCCTACGTGTTTGGCATGAATCACATCAAGAAATGATCTTGACTTAGGAGGTTGGGAACAAGGGATGGAAGGTTTCTAGCCTCTAGGATTTTTGCATAAATCTTTTAAGAGCAGTAGAGAAACCCCAATAACTAAATTATGTGTGTGGGTGAGTGTGTAGATTCTCTTTTTGGGGGAAGGGATAGAAAAAAGAGGGAGAGTAGGAGACAAGCTTTTAGGACAAAAGATCTGGTCCAAAATAGAAAATAGGGGAAGGGGGACACAAAAGAAAGGACGGTTCAAGATCCCCACTTTAAGAGGGCCCCCAAACTAATGTGTCAGATACTTTTTCCTGGTGCAGAACCTTCTGTCAAAGATGCTTTGGCTATTTTTCTCTCAATACAAAAAGAAGTTTGTAAACAATAAAACCCCAAAAATACATGGAGGA